AGCCGTTACCAGGCAACTACTAGTAAAAAGACTGCTGACTGGAAAAGACTTAGTGTGAATTTGTGAAGTGTGGAGGTAGAGATAGTGATATATTATTTGTGGTTACGACCTGTAAGTGGTCAATGAATCCAACATCCAATCCAAAACCCCGTCTATAGTCACTCCATACCATATAACAATATCACAGAGAAAGTTGTAACTGTCATGAACACAGTAAACGCTGTTCCCAGAAAATCATCTATGTCCCTGTCGTGGACATCCTGAGCCTTAATAATTTATGGTATTACATACGTAAACTGTCCTAACAGATCTCACTGTCAGTTTGTCTTGATAGCTCCCTTACTCATTTGACTCTGTTCACTGTCTTCACTGTGTGAAGTAAAAAGTGTACCCGACTTCTTTTCTGCCTCTAAATAAATTGTCTGCTACTTTCAGTGCTTCCTGCAATGTCTTTGGGGGATCTAAACATAATTTTCTTTGCAATATCAGATGTAATCCAAAACTGAAAGTAGAAACCTCCTGCTTTTGGCACTCTAATGCATCCTGTATTACTCAAATGTGTGAAACAGTTAATGTCGGGTAGGCCTGTGGCATTCGCAGTGGTGACTCTGAAGAGTACAAATTGCTAATGGTGCAACTGACCTAGCACGCTCTGAAACATCTCTTTGATAATTTCAATAAACATTCCTAAATTAATGTGTCCTTAGGTAATTCATTACATTAGACATCTAGCTACCTGTTATGCAAGACATGAAGCAAAATAAATCAGAAATTCATCAAACTGCTTTTTATACATAGAGGCATAAGTGATGATGTGGCCCAGTCCCTCCAGCACTTAGGGCTGATCCACTCCTGGCAGGCATTCCCTACATTCAGGAAAATGTACATAAGTCTGCTTTATTAACAAAAGTCTGGTCTAGAAAACCGAAATTAACAGCTGTGAGGAGTCGTTGCGCTGGCCACACAACACCCTCTATCTGCTAAAGTTGGCACTCACTTCGCCGACAAGCGGCGGTGGCTGGGTCAGTATTGTTCACTTGCAGAACAAAACCACAGTTTGTTTTGTATTTTGTTTTATTGACAAGAGAGTTTGGTAGTGGATTCTGACTGAAGCATACCCCACCGTTCATCATTACCCTCAGATCACAAGGATTGAAAGGCATGTCAATATCATCTCTGATTTAACTGCTGGTTTCAGATTCCCCCAGGGTGCATGGAGACAGCCAAATACAAGCTATAAAGATAGATAGCATATGAATATCAGTGTATGCCAACACAGTAAGTCCAAAACTGTACACAGAATTCAAGACAGGTATAAGGACAGTAAACTTGACATAACAATGTAGAGATATTTAATTAGGCAACTATAGTGACAATATGACAGCACTTAAATGTTGGGTTAACAAAAACGAACAGAAATAGATGACTTTAACATAAGAAAATCAGTTACAAAAGCACACAACAGATTCAAGACAGCAAACCATCATCAAATAGTATGGCCACTTGAAAATAAACAGCCAAAATGGATACTGGTGGGGAAATGTGGGGACAGCAAACTAACGTGCAATGATGTTATTTAAATACACTAACAACATAAGAACTATCCTCTGCTGTGGGTAGCCTACATGCTGCTACAATCCTGTACCCTCAACACAGCCAAGTTATTAACAAATACAAAAATAACATAAGGAAAATACACACATGAAACGCACTTGAGTTACAATAAATAAATTGTCCTAGGACCACCAAATCAAGTTGCCTGGATCACTTTTATCTTACACCAAGAAAAGAAGGAAACAAGGAAATCTTTTCCTTCCCATGCCATAAACCAAATTAACATATATATTCACAAATACCCAATACTGGCATGATGAATGCCCTTGCTCCCCTGACTTGTATTGAACAGAAACTGTCAAAACGGAATCTACAAAAATGCAAAATGAAACTTAAAGGTTCAGGAACTGAATTTTGATGTGGCCACCACACCATTATAGAAGCAAGAGGTCAAGATGGTAGCTAACCACTCCTACCCCAGAAACATTTAGAGGCCTCAGAGGCAGGGGAGTACATAAGGAACGGTCAACACATATCCTAGGCCACATCACTACAAGGAGGATGGGTAAAGATTAGAAGGGTAAGAGCAGATAAGCAGGAAGGAAGCAAGGTACACAAAATCAGCTTCACTCCTTTCAGAAAATGTCTGCAGATGAGAAACAGAAGCATATTATGACAAGTGCATGTTTATTGCAATTCCTGTACTGCCAATCTTCCCATAAAAACTTTATCTGACAACTGCATTTACAGACTTTATAACATAAAGTAATAACTACATGCTACTTTACTTTTGGAGTTAATAAACTTCTGAATTTGTGGTAAGTTCTGTTATCTTACCTCCCCATAATAACAACTATCTAATGCCCTCCAAAAAGCATCATATGTCTTTCTTCTCTGCCCTAGAAATGGATTTCTTATAAAATTTTGAGGAGCACACTCACTATGATTTAATAAACTGTTCACTTACAATGAATCAACATTTATTTACACATCAATAGGTACAAATCTTTTCAGATAATACAATTTATATCAGTCCAAGCGCTGAGTTCCATCAATCAAAATGATCAAAATTTTTATTGTAAGGATCTTACAAGTGTGACAAGAATTGGGGAACACTTTTAGAAAGCTAATACATTATTACTGTAGAAAGCTTTATGCAATTACACACAAATAAAAGCAAAAACACATTTTTCAGAGTAATTAAAAGAAAACATACCACATTTATAATTTAGACATTTGATTATTTTTTGGCATAATCAATAAATGCCACACCAATTTACACCTCCTCCCAGAATGATGGGTGTCAGCCAATAGACAGATACATAGATAAATATATACAGATGCATCCCATACATCTTAGTAAGCAGAGTGTAAGACAAGTCAAGAGTACAATATATCACATTCAGAAAATACCTAGAATTACAATACATTTACAGACCACTTCCCAGAAACAAAATACATTAAAACAGATTGACTCACATACATAATTACATTACAAATAACTGCTTAGCAGTTTCTTGCACAAATTANATATAAACTCACTGAAACAGTACTTGTATTTCCATGAGTGCCTGATCATGGTCTCCATGAATCTAATTGCTGTTGGTTATCAGTAGGACACATTTTCATCCAATGGCTGCAAGTGTGAACTGAATGTCCAGAGTTCAAAAATAGCATGGCTGTACAGAGATGTAAGTATTGTTAACTGCTTTCATGTACTTGTTTATTTATTCATTTAATACTTATTTTATCATTCATTTATTTATAATGTTAATGTAGAATGAAGGACATTTATGAAATTAAGCCCTCTTTCATTCAGAAGTATTTATGACTGCATTAAAACGTTTTCCTTTTCTAACCAAATGTCTAGATAAAAGAACAGCTCAATGGTAACTAACCTACCAAGTAGCCTATTACTTAACCCATACTACTTTATTCTATTTGATGAAAATACCTTGATAAAATTAATTAAAATGTTTCAAAAGTCTCCATTCTATCACAAAACTGTACAGCTATACTATGCCTGGCATCTTGAACCTAGTGACTTTTCATGGCTGTAAGAGTTGCTAATGCTATCTAAACCACAGGGCACCTCAACTTCCATGATACAGGTCTTCTTTGACAGGTAAAATCCATAAAAATTTCTGGATAATTAGAAAACTATATGCATTCCCTCACCTCTGACAAAGATGCAAGAGCAAGGATGATGGGAATATCAGGCTCACATTCAGCTACAGATCTTCCTGCCAGGCACCAGGGGTAGCAAAATTCACCCTACAACATCTTGAGCTCAGAAACAGACTCTTTCATCACTGTCAAGGAGAACAGAGGTCAGAAAGGTTGAACACTCCATAAATTGAGGCATCAGCTGTAACTATACAATTTTTTAATCCAGTATAGCTTACATTCGTAACACTAGCTCACATTATTCTTTTGTCATACATAACACAGGGACAATAGTTGGCACATTATCACAATTCGTGATTACTGGAAAATACTGATTGAAATAAGTAAAAATACTCTGAAGATGATATACAAAACTGCTTAGGACTTAGGGAATGCAATTACATGCTTTTAGAGCTCTTGTTAATACCTTGAGGGTTGCTGAATATACTCAAGCTGTAGTATTGATTTATTTAACAATGTCTTGCTAACTGCATCTGTTACATACTGTCATATTTATTCATTTTATTTAATGATGCTAAACCAGAAGGAAATAGGAGAGGGGGAAGACCAAGGTTAAGATGGGAAGAATGTGTGTGGCAGGACATAAGAATTTTGGGTGTAAAGAACTGGAGGAACGTAGCATCGAATAGAACAGAATGGCGAGCAATCCTGAGGAAGGCCAGGGCTCACAAAGGGATGTTGTGCCAGTGATGATGATGATTTAATGATGCTGTTGGTAATTAAAAATATAAGGCATTGAATAATGGTATCATTAGTGAATAATGAACTGAAAGGACGTGGAAGGAAGATGACATTATGTAGGGTCAAAGGGTATGATGAGTTGGGAAGGACAAGGAGGAAAGTTGCCATGATCTGTTTTGAGGTATCATCCAAGCATTTACTGGATGGATTTCCTGAATCCAAAGCACTGCATATTTGGTATGAATTTACCGGTGAAAAACGTTATAAACATGAGTGTTAATGGAGAAGATACAGCAATTTAAAATCTCACAATATTTGTCAAAATTATGTGTGTATAACAGCTGAGATGAACTGAACACCTCAAACTTCAATGCCTTCTAATAACACCTCTGATCAAAGTATTACACACTCACTTTCACTTACACAACAAATAACCTAGTTTGGCCCAAAGCATGATACAAACATACTGTGTGATCGATAACAAATTCCACTTTGCCTCTTGCTGATGTATGAAGGATGTAATGCTACTCTTGCTCTCATTATAATTCTGTACTTTGCAAAATAAAAAAATACTCTCCTCTCCTCTACAATCATAGTTTATGTATAAAGTATATACACAAAAGAATGTGGAAGTTGATAAAGGTGGCAACTTCCTAGCTGATCTTGAACCATCGTGAGCGCCGGCATAACCGACGGTAAGTGAGTGTTATCCAGAAGAATATGAGAACTCCTCCAAACATGTACAGGCCGATTACTGTGGATTCCCGCGGCATTGGGCACTTAGAAACAGCATAGTTGTTTGGAGTAAAAACTGCCTGTAAAGAAAAATACTCAAACATAGAATCCATACTATCTTAAGTGATTATGTTCACACATGTGTGGGTACACACGCAATACTTTACCACAGAATCAATGGATGGAATTCCCAGTGTTCAGAAGTCACTGACAAAAGCTACTCAGCACACCTGATGATCCAGTTAGGAAGATGGAATACAATCATGAAAGTTGTGGAAATAAAAAGATTTACAGAGTAGTGGTCACTATCATGTAAATCTGGAAAAACAGTCCATTCAAGATGGACTGCCAAACCTGGACTAGAAAAGTCAAGGTCCAGAGCAGATGAGGCTCCTGATCAAAGGCATAAGTGCATATTGGTTCCTGTGTTTCCAGGAATTGAGCAAAACCAGCACATACATACTGCTTTGTTTGTCAGCAAGGGCTTCAATCCAAGAGAATATTTTTGGCATTGAAATTGCCCAGAAGAATAAATGGCAGAGGTAATTGGGATATTAAATTATTCAGACCAGGATAAACAATGCAAATAGTAAATCAGGAATGACAACACAGAGATATTGGGTTTTCGGACTTTATCCAGAGTCCTGGTTTTTTTAGATAACTAATAAAAACACGACGTTTCAGAAACTGGATCTGTTTCTATCCTCAGGTGAGAGAAAAACACGTATTCTGTTGGGTCCCTTAGAAAGAGCTAGCCTCAATCACTGGACCACCTGAGGATGGAAACAGATCCAGCTTCCGAAACGTCGTGTTTTTATTAGTTATCTTAAAAACCAGGACGATGGATAAAGTCCGAAAACCCAATATCTCTGTGTGTTATACACCACTGTCAGAATCCTATAGTAACTACAGGAATGACAAGGTTGCTGTGATCATCAGTCTGACAGCATAATCTACTTTTGGTTGGTGTTGTGGTTGTAAGTGAACTCTGTTTGGTCTGGGAAAAGACATCTACTGTTTAACTCCTTGTGAGTGGTAGAAGGGCTTTGTCCCAGTCTTGTGTTTGGTTTCAAGAACATTTTGAAAGACCTTCCATGATCCCAAGTTCCTGAATGGCTTTCTCATTCTGACACATGGGGCAATTCCCATCACCAGATGCATGTCCTCCAGAGTAGTTTCCGCAGTGCAGTGGACTAAAACATGGTGATTCACACTCAGACTCATTGCAGGTGGCATGGACCAGGCCTGAAGCACACTTTTGACAGGGATGTCAAAACCTCTGGCACTGGAGGCACAATATAATGCTAGGAAAGTACAGGCAAACAGACAGCCTGTCTTACCCAAAATGTAGGGCACAACAGGAGACTTAAGAAAGTTGCATGAGAAAATTCTAATTTCTACTCTTCACCAGATCATAGTGTACACATAAAATGTATACCATTTTACTGCAACACTGCTTATAAACTGAAAGGCACTGGAATTAAAACTAAATGCATCTCAGTAGGTTTCATGATCAAGATTATAATTCAAGCCATTTACAATTCCAATCTTTCCACCTGATGCACTACTATCACAGTTCTAAAACTCATATTTCAAATAGAGCTAAATTTGTGATGTTTCAGAAGCTGAGATTCGAGACTACAGTGTAAAAGTGGTCTCATTTGGTGTTCAAAAGGGAACCACCAAAAAAGCACTGATCTGTAAATAGTACAAATTGTTCCCTCAGTCTGGCTGCATTTGTAAACGGAAAAGCCCAAGGAGGCGACCAGTCACTGAAGCTTACGTGGGTAAAGTATGGTTGGATTTTGTTCATAGGCCATGCACATCAACTAGACATCAGTGGCTTTTTTAGTCCACAAGTGAAGTATACCAACCAAGTGACCGCCGCTTGTCAGCAAAGTTAGTGCCCACTTTTGCGGATATAGGATGTCGCATGGTCAGCGCAACAGATTCCCACAGGTTTTAATCTCGGTTTTCTAGACCAGAGATCAACTAGACATGATCTTCAAAATTCTGTGGAAATGTTTGAAATTACAAGTTACAGGCTCTGACTGTCAGAACACATATGTGCCCAGGAAAAATAAGTACCCTGCACATTTTACTGTGACTTCCTTTCAAGATGCTGATGAATTTTTTATAGACAAAATTGTTTTCAGTGATCAAAACCGCAATCAATTTATCAGGAAACATTACTTGATGTAATCTGAGATTCTGAGGTAGCAATAATCCTCATAACATAGCTGAATATACAAAAGACAATTCAAAGTTGCATGTATTTTGTGCTTTGTCCAAACAAAAAGTATCTCGGACATTTTTCTTTGTTGAAAGATTTCCAACTGGCATAGTGTACCTAGATTAATTGGAGGAATTATTCATGTCTATTGCAGAGGATGATGGTCCCAATGATGCACTGTTTGAACAAGCTTGAGTGCCTCCACATTTCCAAAAGATAGTGATAGATATCTTACATTGCTCATTTCCAGAGAAAGGGACTGGTGGGGGGTGGGCCTATCATGCGGCCACATTCACACAACCTTTTCGTCCTGAGACAGTTTTCTTCTGGGAGTATATCAAGCATGATGTGTACATGACATCAGTGGCTACCACTTTCTAAAACATTTCTGGCATATGAGAGCTGCAGTGCCTACAGTTACCCTCGACTTGCTTAACAATGTTTGTGTTGAAATCAAATAGAGATGTGAATCTGTTGGGCCATTTACAGCACCCTCACTGAACATCTGAAATGCAGGTCACAAAGTCTTAATCATACAACTCACTCAACATGCGTGATTGGTTTTCATTCCTATATCTCTCAGTTCAGAAGGAATGTTACAGTGAACTGGTACACATTCCCCCTTGTACACCCTCTAGCATTGTGATGATCAAATAAAGGATAAGACAGGTGGGGCATGCAGAACATACTAGAGACATGGAGATGCACATGAAGTGTAGGGTAATGTAAAGTAATATAAGTATAAGAATTAAGTTTTCTAACAACTTTCAGTATAGACCAATAACACCAACTTTCATGATGAAATGTACAGACAAACACAATCTCCTTGCTACGTGTTCCTCCTATGTTTTATGAAAAGAATGCATTAGAAAGAAAAGCTACATGAAGCAAGCAGATTTTGCCTCATATTTATCACTAATATTAAAATTGGTGTGTTATGTTTCCCTTGCTCCTTGTAACACATGAAGGGCCATCTTACTGTTGGAACTGGCTCCATAATCTGAAGCTATACTTACAAGCATAAAACTAGGATTGTCCTTGTTCCGCCAGCTGAATGATGGGAGGGTCCATTCATGAATGTCATCTCTGTGTGTAATATGGCATCCATGATGAGTGTGACCCGTCACAATAAGACGAGGTTTCAAGAGATCCAACAGCTGGAAAACCATAGCAGAGACACAGATCAAGGGACAGCTGGTACCATGACTTGACTGAGTCATTCTTGGGTGATTTACAAACCCTGTTTCAAACTACAAAGATTATATGTATCAAACACAATGGAGAGATGATCATGAATGGTGATTTGATGTGAATATAAAAGGAGCAGTCATAGCCTACCAGAAAGTACTGTCTTTGCACCTGCTTGGAAAAACAAAGCAAAACAATAAAAAGATCTCAGACAAGATATCCAGCAACCAATTCAAAATTTCAAGCAGGTATCTCACAAAAACAAGTGTAGTGATTTACCTATTTCTATCAAAAGTGATTTCTTTCTGGTGGAATGAAGTGGTACATAGTACTAGCACCTTGTTTTTAAAAAACTAAAATATCCATGAGTTGAAATAAAAACTACAGTTTGGAGTAGCCTCCAACAATGGCATTCATACCACAGTTCATAAAAATTGGTAAACTCATGACACACACACACACACACACAAATATTTTTTTTTTCTTTTCAACATGAAGAAAAAGCAGCATTTATCTGAGGACAGGATCAAACCTGTTCTGAAGATTCTTTTGAGAGGCACTCCCAACGTTCACGAAATTTCTGTGTCTTCTCATCTTCAGGTGCTTGGTCAGGTTCACTGCATTCAGCATCTGACTCCCGGTACATTGGGAAATGCTGTGAGGAAGAGTAAAGGAATGTCAGAGAAATAATCCTTGAGACAGCGCTGTTTTACGGCATACTAGCAGTAATCTCACTGGTACTGTAGAAATTTTGTAAGCGGAATTTAATTGGAATTACTGCTGCCAACTTTCCTGTAAACACTTCACTATTACCATCCTGTCGATATCAACACACCATCTCTTCATAATAAGTATTGCTTTCCTTACAACTGTAATAGTGCCACAAAAAGAGTTCGCAAAGGACACAAAATTTGAAATTTACCACTGAGTCATAAAAACTCTGCATTCAAGTGTGACGCCATGATGCTGGTACAGTTAACTGGACTAAATCATGTGCTGTAAGTAAAATAAAGGCCGGTCACGGTAGCCGAGAGATCTAAGGCATGTACTGTCTTCGCTCGCTTGGAAACCAGGATCGTGGGTTCGAATCCCACTCAGGACATGGATGTTTAGTTTGTGTGTGCGTTTCTCTGTGTTTGTGTACAGGTAGAGGCCTTGTGACGAGCTGATCTAGAAAATCCGAAGTGAACAGAGAAGTTCATGGAGGTAGGCCTAGGCCCACTGGGGCTGTAGTGCCAAGGAAAACAAAAAAAGTAAAATAAAGGTATCCCTGTAACAGGCCATGGAGGCCCATAGGGTTGAGAGATGTTGAGGTTCCCACATTTTCTAGTGAATCAGTTCATGGATGGCGGTAAGGTTATCAGCCTTAGGCGCCAGGCACCTTTTACCCCCAAGAACATTCCGAGAATATTCCTGGTACTCATTTCTGTTAGAGGCTGAGTCGACCCCAGGGCCACAGTGCAGCTGGAAGGCTTGGGTAAATTGAAAAAAAAATCCAATGACCTCATTGGGATTCAATCCCGCGACCTTCTGGCTTGTAGCATAGTGTGTTGTATTATATTTTAGTTTAAGTGAATATAGGTAGAATTTGTGTCATATGAGAAGTTCAATCCCATGTCCAGAGAAATCAAATACAAAGTTTGAATTTTTTATTTGAAAGAAGTTTCATCATAGACAGACAATATAAGCAGGCCTTCCTCTGGGTTTGCTTGCTTTCTCCTTCTCAATTCCCAACCAAGTGAATACCATAAGGCAGTAAAAGTGCCTCTGTTATTTGGAACAACAATAGCAGCCATGTATGGACCACTGATACATGGCAACACAGTTTACTAATGACTGCAAATGTCTCTATATATCTAAGGTCATTATTTTATATACAGGAAGGTAAATCTTCTTCCTGACTCAAAGCTGCTGCTTCTGATATTATCTCCATCTATGATTTGACCTGTCTGACCTCTGAGTGTACTGGCACTGGTAAGGTCCATTCATGAGCCAGATTCTCCTGTGAGGCACACCATTTTTCCCAGTTGTAGGATGATGATGATGGCTGACAGAGGAGAACTATAATTTAACATGTGCTCCAAACCATGGTGATGATATGATATTCCTCACATTCACAAAGTTTCAACTTTGTCAGAATTGATGGAAGAATTTACCCCTCACCTAGTAGGTCTTCAAACCAAGACGTCTGTCACATACGAGTCCAGTGCCTTTTCCTTAGACCACCATGTCCCATCACAATTTCTAACCTTCAGATATCACTGCTTCCACCATTTTACATGTACTGATCCATCAAACTAACCTTTAATGTTCCATCACATTTATAGTTGAAATTTCTCTCTACTGTTAAGTTTGACACCAAAAATCAATTATCTTATCAGATGAAAATCCAAACATAGAAAACTCAAAAAGCTGTGTCATGAAGATGTGTATGTGTAAGATGTAACACACAATGGGAGGCACAGAGATTGTACCACTCATTGTAAATAAATATCTGAAACTTGTTATGTGTCTTTTGCTAACAGAGAAAATTCATAGAATTCCTTTTTTTACTGAACACAACAGAACTTCTTTACTGGTGTTTCATAATGAAGTGAATGCATACACATACTTCTAGTATGAAAACGTTTAACAGAAACTAGTACAGACCTGTAACAGAATAGGGCGACTGTACTGGGTGAGATCCATGCCTCTATCACACCGGCCAACTCCTTTTGTACACTTCAACCTTCCTGAAAAATTAATACAAGATTGGCAGGAATTATTCTGTTACTGTGTACTTGTTTCTACAAGAGTGAACAGTTTACTGTTAAACTAGTTCTGTGGCATTCTTCTCACAGAGATACAGATCGTAGATTGTAGATTCATATTCCACTTTTCTGCTGTAGTTTAACTTACCTTATTTTATACAACAGTCTTGCAGTGAAAATCCTCTGTTTCTAAGCATGCTTCAATCAACATATATGTTGAAGCTGCTACAGAAGAAGAGCAGAAAGTTTATGCTTAATATTTTCCTGAAGCTCCTCCAAAGAGTGCGGGTTATTCACATACATTCACATTCATAATTTATTATGTCATAAAAATACATGGGCCCAATTATCCACAACATGCTAAATGCACACCAAACACCAAGTTCTAAATCATGTGGTGGCACTTGATGAACAATATGAAGATTTTCTTATGTTACTTTGGATGTTTACATAACAACACAGTGAACCACATATCATCTGAATAAAATATAAGTTCTGGATCAAGAAATCCACTGAATATTAATTCTTGAAACCACCCACAATACTTCATAATACACAGGCAAAAGGCTTGGTACAACTCTAGTTTTGTATGGCTGTAACTTCAACAGGCTGCACCAATCTGACCCATACTTTAGCCAGCCCACAGTGAAGCGCCAAAAGACATAACAGCCTCCTCAGGCTTGTTTCTAACCAAGCATCTATGTCATCAAGTTTTTCTTCAGCCAGTACATGTCTCTTTCAAGATTTCTTTTTGTCAAGCACAAATCCCATACAATGAAATTTTGTTATAATACTGTAACTGACATAACATGGCACTGCAATGTCAGCATACTCCCTATAAAACGTTTTGCAGCATTTCCTAAATGAAGAATGCTAAACAATATATCTCACAATTATAAATCACTCCGTTCAATGTGACCTGTAAGTTTTTTACTACATAAAAACTTAACACCGTTACATGTTTCGGTCTCTGTGGACCATCTTCAGAGGGCAAACATCACTACAAATAGGAAACCACCATCACATAATTTGTTTACACGTACAGTACGTACACTTATATGCTATATATGCTTATATGTTCTATTCTGTGTACTATGTATTGTAGCATATAAGTGTACATACTTTACGTGTAAACAAATTATGTGATGGTGGTTTCCTATTTGTAGTGATGTTTGCCCTCTGAAGATGGTCCACAGAGACCAAAACATGTAAGGGTGTTAAGTTTTTATGTAGTAAAAAACTTACAGGTAACATTGGACGGAGCGATTTATAATTGTAATTGTTATTGTGATGGACCAGAATGAAACAAATCAAAAATATCTCACATGAATAATTTCTCTTCAACAATATATTTAATTTCTAACAACTATATTTCACAACACCATGAACTGCCTTTGTACGCATCTCAAAGACAATTAAATGCTGAATGGACAGTACTGCTGAGATAAACCAGTAAGTATCGAGTGGAGAAATGATGGTTTAGTGGCCAGCAGTGGACAGGTATGGGTCAATAAATTTATAGACAGCAAGCCTATGGACAAATTGGATTCCCTGTATGTTGACACTATGCAAGGGTGCAAAAATGTACAGCCATGAAGCACATATATTTTCAAAATCTGTTCCTCATACCTCATTAGCTTTGATGTTAGTTTATTACAAATATAAATTCAGTCACACTAAAAACATCAAATTGCATCAAGTCAGAAAATATTTCTTCTTGTATTTCATTAAGTATGCAACACACAGACGAATGTTTCAAACATAATCCATCACAATTTTCAGAGATGAAATATGCAGACAAACGCAATATCTCCTATGTCTGTTCAGTTTATCGTCTTCATGCACAAGTGCATAAAAACTGAAATATCACAGTCCATGTGTCATTACGCCGTGGTCTTACTTTTACGATTTAATATTACAAGAGGTAAAGTTCAGCTTTACAGACAAGATGAAACAAACACTAAAAATGTAATTACTATGATTCTAGCTTCAGGATTCCAAGCTGCACGCTAAAACATGCTTTCCCTTAGTAATTGCTGGAATGAACATTAAGGAATCTCAGGGCTATTCTCAATGTGGCGAACAGAAAAATTCCGAAGCTCCTACAGAGAATAAACCACCAGTCACATAGTCCACAGTATGTCACTCTGGCTGAACTGTCATAGTTAAAACTTCTTCACTGTCGAACAACACTCACTTGAGATTTTCTGCAGCTGTAACTCTGCCGGACGGCACAAGAAACAGCCATCCCCTTCCATAGCCATGCTGTTCACCAGCACAAAGTGGTTGCCCTTGACTGAGACCAGCTGGACTGACTGGGCATCAAAAGCTGATGAGAAGCGTTCATGCAGGTAAGGGCTAATCCTGAAGGCACAAGTACATGATATTAAACTTAGAATGGCCATAGTGCCGTATGCTAGATTTAGTGAATTAGCTCCACATTGTATGTATTGGTATGTGACCAGTCTGTGGGTCACATCATGATCTGACCCACTTTTTGTGCATATGTGTAATATATATATGTACAAAAAGTCTGCAGACTCCACTGCATTTAAAATCAGTGACAACATAGTGTATGTACAAGTTTGTTCAAACCTAACTCATGCATTGAGAGTGCTGAGCAAATAGTGAGTGAGGTTCTGCTTGTAATGATGGATAAGCACTCAGTTGCAAGTACAAGAAGTTATGTAAGCAAGAGAAAAACTTAACTTATACGTTCAGGTAACGTTAGAATGTTGAATTCTTCTTTGTTACCTTCATATTTACATGATAACCACTAAAAATAAGTTATGAAATATATTCATAGCATAATTATTCTAGTGCATTCACTCAGTTACTACATGCAGACAGCATAAACTCCATTTTGTGTAATTGTCTTGAAAACTCTAACAAAGGCATGTTGGACATAACAGATGCATTTAATTTGTCTCTACAGCTTTTCTTTTGAAATAATTTTTGATTTGACACATATTTTACAAGTTATTCATGAACACAGAAATGCATGTATGTCTTTGTGTGAAGTGTCTGCTATTGCTGCACAGTTTTAACAAAAGTTTATATACAAATACAAGTATAAGTAAAATGCAATGTAAAAGTTCATTAAAATCCATTAAAATCATTAAAAAAGTGGTTCTTCAGTTGAAATATGCAGTCAGCTAGATGGAGAGACATAAAAAGTCTAATGCATGACTCTGTGCACTTTTCATTCTGTGCCTTTTAAAATGAATAAATATTGTCATAACCAACTGTTTTTATACTTTAGCAATGCACTCAAGTGCCAAAAGTCATGGTATAGTAGTACGTAAATTTATTTTTAAGTGGCGCCACCGTCCCTTGATGGCTTGGGAATGCACAGAGCAGTATCAGTTGTGAGGTGTTCTCTCTTGAGTCACGGTGAACACTGGCCAATCTGCTCATGGCAAACCGACGTGAATTATCGGAGTTTGAATGGGGCATGATAGTGGGTGCCAGGCGGATGGGACATTCCATTTCCGAAGTTGTGCGGTCATTCAACATTCCTCGATCCACGGTGTCGAGTGTGTACCGGGAATACCTTGTGGAAAGCATTTCCACCCACCGTGGACAGTGCAGTGGCTGACCATGGGTGCTTAAGGATCGTGACCAGCGGCGTCTAGCTAGAATTGTCTGTGGTAACAGACAAGCGACACTGACTGAAATCACATCCACATTCAATGCAGAAGGTACCAGATGCATATCCAGCAGGTCGGTGCAGCATTCTTTAGCTTCCATGGGAAATGGGAGCAGAAGACCGACCAGAGTGCCTCTGCTAATACCATGACACCAGACACAGCGCCTCACCTGGGCTTGTGACATCGCTAATTGGACCCTGGAGGATTGGCAACATGTGGCGTGGTCCGATGAGTCAGGGTACCAGTTGTTTTGGGCGGATGGTAGGATTTGGGTGTGACACAGAACCCATGAGGCCATAGATCCCAGTTGTCAACAAGGCACCACACAGGCTGGTCGTGGTTCCATACTGGTGTTGGGTGTGTTCACGTAGCATGAGTTGGGTCCACTCGTCCACCTAAACACATCATTGACCTGTGACCACTACATTACACTGCTTGGTGACATTTTCAGCCCTTCATGGACTTCAAGTACCCCCACAATGGGATATTCCAGCAGGACAATGCACTGTGTCATCAGGCTGGAGTTGTCCAGAATTGGTTCAAGGAGCATTCTGGAGAGTTCCAAAGAACGGTGTGGCCACCACGTTCGCCTGACATGAACCCAATCTAGCATTTATGGGACGTGGTGGAGAGGTTCATTCTCACCCAAAATCTTGCACCTACAAATACCAGGGAGCTGTGGGCAGCTATCCAAATGGCACGGCTCAACATCTCTCCAGAGGCCTTCCGTCCACTTGTGGAATTGATGCCACGTCGAGCTGCTGCACTTCGCCGGGCTAGAGGGGGTCCTACACGATACTAGGTACCTATCCCATGACTTTTGGCACTTCAGAAAGAAAGAGATGGACCATAAGATGAAGCATTCAACCATTTCCAGATATCACATGTTCCTGTTACCTCGAAGGCAGAAAATTTTAAGCACAACAAACGACCACAGAGGAAACCAAGGAAAAGGAGGAGAAACCTAGTGAAGTAACATGAAAAAAAAAGACAGCAATGATGGAAAGGCAGAAAGACAACAGCAGCACCTATAGGACATCAAAGAAATTAGGGGATGTTCTGCATAAGATTACCCACTGGTGGAAAAGTATGAGGAGCGCTCTGTATATAATGCCTCCTATTTTTTAATGAAAAATACAACAGATACAGAAAGCATAATAATGCAGTTAAATAGAGAAAGATTTCAGCTATTTATAGTTATTTTTCCACTTAATCACCACCATTCTTTATGCACTTTTGCCATCAAAGAACAAGAGCCTGTATGCCGCACCTGTAAAAGTCTGCGCCAGCAGAGGCTAGCCACTTTCTTACAGCTGCAATGACAGCATCGTTGTCTGGAAAATGCTGCTCACATAGTCCATCTTTCATAGGTCCAAAGAGATGGAAGTCTGAAGGTGATAAATTGGGGCTATAAGGTGGATGTGGTAGGACAGTCCAGCCAAACTTTGCAATGTGCGCGGTGGTCGCCAAACTGGTATGGGGTCTAGCGTTATTGTGTTGCAAGCGAAAGGTTGTCTGCTTCTCTGGCCTGACTCTGGAAATGCGGGCTTTCAGCTAAGTCAGCGTCGTCTTGTAGCATTCAGAATTGACAGTCTCACCAGGCTCCAGGAAATCCAACAAAATCACACCCTGCCTATCCCAAAAGACCGTGCACATCACTTTTCCTGTTGATGGCTGTGTCTTGAACTTGTATTTTCTTGGGGAATCAGGATGTCGCCACTCCATGGACTGTCTTTTGGATTCCGGCTCGTAGTGAGGACACTATGTCTCATCTCCGGTGACGATGCTGTTCAGAAATTTGTCACCTTCAGCCTCAAACTGGCTCAACAGGTCCTGACAGACTTCCATTCGATGAGTTTTGTAGTTTTGTGTAAGCATCCTCGGGACCCACCTGGAACAAACTTTGCAATAATCCAGCTTCCCCAACATCGTTTCCAATCCATTACAGCTGATATTAAGCCATGCACACAGTTCCCTGGTCGTTATCCGCCGATCGGTACGAATGAGCTGATCGAGACGCTGTGCATTGTGAGGAGTGGCAGCTGAGCAAGGACTCCCAGAGCATGGCTTGTCGCACACTTCACTTTCACCACTGTTGAAACATACTACCCACTGCCTCACTGTGCTGACATCCACTGTATCGTCTCCGTACACCTTTAGCAAGCATCGATGGATATTAATGGGTGCAATTTGTTCAGCAGTGAGAAATTCAATAACACATACCTGTTTCGTACACACTTCTATGTCGAACGCCATTTTGGTAGACTGCTATGTTGTCGCTATCTGTCGCACAACAATCAAACTAACATACATTGGCAGGAAGGTTCAACCTTTACTACAACACCACCAACATCCAGCTCAGACGTTACAGATTAACACAAAAAATAGGAGGAATTATATATGGAACGCCCTTCGTAAATGAATGATGCTGACACAGTATCAACTGCTAAAGTCATACACCACAAACAGGAAATGAGAGAATAACTGAAAATGATGAGGCAGGATATTAGAAGTATTTCCAGCCAATTTACATTTTCTTCTGTAAGTATGCTTCGAAGGCCTGTATAAAGTCATGAAAAATTTCGGTTAGGACTGATATTCTCCTGGTCAAATTTACACTGAATATAAAACAGGAATTCTAACCATAATTTTTGGCCTGTAGGTCAGCAGTTTCCACAACATGAGAGGAGTGTCAGGGACAAGATGTCTTAACTCTTATATCACTTTCACTAACAAAGCTCTGGTAACTGAGTAATGGTGATATAACATCTACAGTAGAGAAAATGCCACTTCCTAAATCAAGTTCAGATCAAATTACATTGATTTAACCATTACATCTGGTGGAGAAGAAATGCCAACTTGTGATGGTATAGCTATTAATCTGTTGGAGAGGAATTCTTCTATCATATTTAGTTAAGTTCAATTTTAAGTTTAGTTCCCTAAAAATTGTACATTTCATGGATCCTTTGATAAGCAGAAATTTGCATATAACCTCGATAGCTCAGATAACATTAAATCAATCAACTAATTAGTTAAATCAAAATATGGTCTAACACAAATTGACGGAGGAAGAGCAAGAAGAGGAACCAGTATTGTACAGGTCTCTAACTGGACACCACCTAACAGAAATCTCATTAAGAAAAGTGCCTGACAAAAACCCATAATGTCATAATGTAGAGACTACTCACCCATAATGGAAACCAATATCATGATTTCCAACCACAACAAACATCTGTGACCCTTCAGGCACTCTGAACAAGTCACTGAAACGATTCACGTAGTATGCAAATTCTTTCTCACTGCACCAGAGGCCCTCATCAAACAAATCCCCTATAGATAAAAAAACAGAGGTACAATACAGTGTTCCTTCAACATGAAGCCAAGTTGCACATATTCATTTCTACAAAACACCTCACAGCTTTATTATGGATGCCATATCAACTGCTGAGTTTATGACGGGCTGCATGCGATATGATGGTACAATTGTGAAGGACGAATCTGATGTGGAAATGGTTGCTGCCTATTTTAAGTTATATCCCAGCATTTTCCTGTAGGAGCTGAGGAAATATATCAGAACTTCACAGGATAGCTAATATAACATGCCAGGATTTAATCTGGGTACCTGTCATATAAAAGTCAGATACATTACTGTTGTGATGATATCTGTCAAGCCTTTGACTTTAATAAAATTTTTCATGGGATGGACAAAAATATGGAAACACCTTGTGAAATGTATGCCTGAATTGAAGTGTTTATTTTAGCGATGTTGTAGGTGATGCTGTCATATCTGCCCAACGCCACTACCCTACAACATCCGCAGTACAGTGCAAGCTTCAGTTGTTGTCGAGACAGTGTTCTGTGCAGTTTTTAGTGCATCATGTCAGAGCTAACAGAATTCGAACGTGGACAAATTGTTGGGGCCCGTATGGTGGGTGCTTCCATAACCAAGGTAGCCGAGGTTTCTGGTGTTTCGCAAGGCACAGTATCCAAGATTATGACTGCATACAAGAGGACTGGAAAAACCGCATCCGATAAACACCAGCGTGGACAGAAATGTGTACTGAGTGATAGAGATAGGGGTTCGATCATGGTATGGCAGCCATATCGTGGTATTCTGTTGGACCCATCATTACCCTGCAAGGTTACATCACTGCCAATGACCATGTGACCATTTTGGGCGACAAGGTCCATCCCATGGTGCAAACTTTGTTCCCCAATTGTGATACCATTTACCAAGACAACAATGCCTGTGTTCACACAGCTCACATCATCCAGGACTGGTTTTCTGAGCACGAAGATGATGTGTCACGTCTGCATGACCCCCACAATCGCCAGATATCAATATTATTGAGCCTTTGTGGTCTGCTTTGGAGAGCAATCTGTGCGCTCGCTATCCACCTCCAACATCATTAACAGAAACTGCCCATGTTTTGCAGGAATAATGGTGTAAGATTCCACTGCAAATCATACAGGACCTCTATTTATCCATTCCAAGGAGACCGCAAGCAGTTCTTGCAAGCCAGAGGTTGTCTTACACCATATTAGTCACGGTAATGTGTTTTTTGTTGGGTGTTTCCATATTTTTGTCCAATCCCTTGTATAATACACCAGTTAGCATATATGTGTCACATTCAGAAGGACTGAATTTATATGGGAGACCTCACTGGTATTCCTCAGTCCATGCAGGCAAATATCTGGACAACAATTTACAACTCACACTTCACTACAAGTTTACCACCTCTCATGTATTGATTTATAACCAATAAAACTGACATAATGTCACTAAATCAAAGAAAATGTAGAAAAAATATATAGTAATATTTAGGGAATGCTCATATATTTGAAGTCCACAATATTCTGAAGTATCCAAAATCTCACTAACAAGGTTTTACAGCATTCTGAAAAACTCCTACTGGAAAACACACTTGAAGAAGAAACCTCTTAGCACATTGTGATATTACAATATCTACCAAAACCACCAGACATAAAACTGTCATATTCATACATATTCAAATGTATGAATACTAGGTGTTCTTTCTCATAACTAAAATGACCAAAGCACAAAAGTGACCATTAAAATCTACGATGCATTCCTCCCTTGTTCTTTATGGTGTGATGTTTGCGCAAAGAACTATTCTTTACCTTTTACAAACACATACAAACAAGCATTTAATTTAATTTCATACAGAAAACTTGGAAAGGAACTAAAAAAAAAACATGGTAAAAGGTGTGTCCTGAGTAAACTGATTCTCTCCAGTACCTTGATATAATGGTGAAGAAGGGGAGTGAAGGTGAAGGTGTACACAATCTCAAACTCAGCAACAGATGGAAATGATGGCTAGCTTCAAACTCTGGCCATATTAGTCCAAAGAAACAGCACCTGCCAAGTGGTTTCGTGCACCCCAGAGCCAATCTAAATCTGGTGGTGAAGATACAATTCCTGACCTTATCACAAATTAAACCCTGGTTCTCCAGCCTATGAGCAGTCGCTTTACTGACCGACATATCCCATGCATACAAGGATTATCAAGCGTCTTGTACTACTGCTGCAAGGATTATAGACAAGACAGCTGAAGGTTGGATACTGCATCACTGATGGAAATAAACCCAGCAAGAAAACTGAATAAATTCAACACAATAACCTTATATTCGGTATGCAGTTCCTAAATGAAAAATGAACATAGAAGGCATAAGCCAGTAGACTTTTCAAAAGCTCTGACAAGAAGCAAAACTGCTGGTACCCTAGGGCTCAAATTTTCAAATCTGATAAGGAACTCACCCAATACAAATATAACATCTGGTTTATGTATAACCATGGCTGTCTGGAAAGTACGATACATCTGCCATTCTCTGAAAGTACATCAGTTTATATCATTAATAGTCATTATTTTATTATAAGCTGTTCTCAAAACCTACAACAAATTCCTGCAGCCTCCCACAGATTTTCATAAAACAGAGTGAATTCTCATTTGAACTAACTTCTGCAATTATACAGATAAGTCACCATCTCATACAAGTCCCAATCGTTTTGTTGCAAGAAATATAATTCAAATTTCTACAAACATTTGTATTAGCTTGTGAACTGCCCTTCCTCTTCATAACATGTATTTTCCAATATGTGTAAGTCATGATTTAATCATTTACATTGTTTTTAGAAATTGTGACTTTCCTTCTTTGTGTCAGTCCCTGGTGGAAGCATGGCTTCTTCATTTGCAAAATGCAGGTGTCACATGGTGAAATGGAATCTCTTTAATCCTTCTTTCAGTTAAAAATAGTTAACCATGCAGAGAAAATCAGAAAAGAGCAACAGAAAGAATGTTTGCTATTAATGAAAAATTTATGACAGAATGCGAGATTCCAGAGGTCTCTCTCATGAAAACAAATGTGTCCAGGTGATCTCTCTAGAAGCAAAAAATAACAATTTTTAGGAGGCTCAAGCAATTATGTGCATAAGATACAAATATACAGACAATACTTTACATAAAAGGCATGAATTTAACACATGCAAAATCAACCAAGTCCTAATTCCAGTGATAGTATTCATCCCAAGCTGGGAAACAATGAATAAATCATATAGTCACACTCTGAGCACATACTTCTGTACTTCTGTCAGTTACCTTTCTTCACATGATAAGTCTTGATGAATTAAAAGAACTTCCCTTAAATACTTCTGCTAACATTTCATGAGAGTGTAAAATAATACCAATATTTCTGACCACTTAAACAAGTATGTCACTGATGATGTCAGATGTATGATCAGGCCTATATTTCCAGTACAATAAGATATTTTTGTGGAATGTTTGCAGTCCATCTTGTAAACGTATTTTTATACACCTCAGTTTGTACAGAGCTGGCTTATTTTACAATATTCAGTCCCCACCGAGTGGAACTCTAAAAAGAAAGCCTCAATAACATCTCACATAATGGAAGAATGGCTGGGAACATTTAATGCAAAGATGAAAAAGCAGAAACAGAGTGTTCTCTTATTTCTGGACAGCAAGACCTCCCATCCTCACACTGCACTCTTAAAAGCACAGCCTGCATGCCCTCTCCCCCAACACCACAGTGTATCTCAACCCATGAACCAAAAAGTTATAAGGCGGCCCAGGTTCGATCCCGGGTCTGGTCAAGTGGGATTTGTGGTGAACAAAGTAGCGCTGGGGCAGGTTTTCGAGTACTTCGGTTTCCCCTGCCAATCTTCATTCCACCAATTGCTCCACAATCACCCTTGCCTATCATCTGGGGCTGGTACAATAGGCAAGAAGTGCCAGTAGTACAAGGGACTTGGTTCCACCATCTGGGGCTGGTACAATAGGCAAGAAGTGCCAGTAGTACAAGGGACTTGGTTCCACCCCACTAGCAATAAAAAAAAAGTTATAAAATGTGTAAAGCTGAATTACTTGAAGCTCCTCATGCAATCTCTGCTAGTTGACTGATGATGAAAACGATGAAAGATATGTCAAAAAACTCCAGTCTCTCAATCAGGCTACGTAGAAAATGTTACGGCAGAATACTGCCTTAACCCTTCCGCGACGGATAGTATTTAAATCTTTTCCTACCGNTATATATATTTTTCAATATAATTATGATAAATAATATTTTTTTACTCACTCGAACTGCTAAAAGTTGAGTTTGGTGTGGTAATCCTGAAAACACTGGTCAATACATAGCCCAACATCACAATCACTGCACCAGTACATGGTTTCTTTTCTTCTTCTGTTTTTTGTACACACTACACATAGCCTTTGTGGTCTAGCCTTTTTTCTTGATGGGGGAATTTTACTAATAAAATGTCTTTCACGAAGCCGGGGGATGGTGTTATCTGATGAATGACGTCGACCTTGTACTCTACATGCTGCCTGCTCCTGGTCCGTAAACTTCAACAGCAACCCTTCTACCAGATTTACTCTGAATGCTAAGTGGTCTGTCAGTCTTTCCTGATTCTTGTTATAAATTATCATGGCATTTACCACTGTCGCATTCAAAAGGCGTCTGAAGAGTTTCATGTACCACTTATGAAGTCTTTTTCTTTCCACGTTGTAGTACTGTAAAAGCTGATCTTTCAAATCAACGCCACCCATCATTTCATTATAATCAATTATAATTTTTGGTTTTTTTATTTCTTTGTTTCTCTTTATATCTGTCTGTGTGTCGGCATTGTGAAATGTAGAGATCACGGAAACTGGTTTTTTGTCTTGCCACTTGAGAACAGTTATAGGACCTGCGTGCTGAGCTATGATCTCGCCCTTTCTCAACTTTGTGTTTTTTACAGTTGTTGGGACACCCTTTCTGTTCAACCTAAGGGTCCCAACACAGTCAGTGCCATGATTTTTTAATAATTTTGCTAACTGGGGGGAATTGTAATAATTATCCATCCATAGAGTATGACCTCTATGGAGGAGCGGTTCGACCAAATGTAGAACAACAGATGTTGTTTTATTGGTATTTTCTCTGATCAGTGAAGAATTTAGTTGGGTTTCGCTGCCAGTGTAAACAATAAATGACCATAAATACCCAGATTTGGAATCACAGAGTTCATAAGTTTTTATGCCGAATTTTGAAGCTTTCAGTGGCAAGTACATTTTGAATGCCAATCTCCCTTTCCATAGTGTAAGCGATTCATCAATACAAATATTTTGTCCAGGATAGAAGAGTGTCTGAAATTTTTCGTTGAGATGTTGAATGACAGGAAAAATTTTGAAAAGTCTTGTAGGTCCTAGGTAATTATCTTTCTTAGTATTGTCATTGAAATGGAGAAATTTACATATAAGCTGGAATCTGTCTCTCGAAATTACATCAGGAAATGCTGGAGTGTATAGTAATCTTTTCGTTGAAAAGTATGAATTTAGAGTTGGCTTATTGACTATACCCATCAGCAAGAACAAGGCTAAGACCACATACATTTCATTTAGTGTCACTGGTACCCACTGCCTAGCTGGAGATCTAAATGGAAAAACCCTCCCACATATAAATTGTTGCGCATAAGTGTTTGTTTCCTGAACGATATTGTTTACAAAATCCTCAGTAAAAAATAATAGAAATGTCTGTACTATGTTGAGCACATTCACAGACTGATTTCTCGGCCCCAAATTTCAGAAAACCGTTCGCAAACGCCATCATAATTATCCATATTTTGCCAAAAATAACTCTCGTCTGAATCCGCCACTGGAACCCTCGCCACTATTTCGTCGTCATCTTCAATACTAAGATCTTGGATAGCATCAACTACAGCCTGATCTTCAATTTCATTATCACTGTTTTCACTACTATCCGAATATTCGAACTCACTAACTTCCGAGTCGTGAGCAAGGAGCTCATCTAGTTCATCGTCCTGTAAAACTTTCCTACTTGTAGAGGCCATGGTTATGGCGCGACTGAGAGAAGAAAGTGTTATGACATCATAGATTTCTGTATCATTCGTAAGTTTGTTTTCTTAGGTTGCGTTTGGTTCCAAGAAAAAAGGACCCTCTTGTTTGACTACTTCATTGTGTCAGCAGACTGTACAGCAACCCACTCAAGGAAAACCTTCGTCTGGGGTTTCAGTGAGTGACTCATATAGACAAGCAAAGACCATAGAGTCGAAAGATATATAGTTTTATACATTTTCCTTACTTAGAATTTGAAAAATGTCAATGCAATCTAGGCGCAATGAGACCAAAGTACGAACTATTACACTAACGATATAAAATAAAAATACCGTGCTAAAAATTCGTCCAAAATAAATAACTCATATACCAATTGAAAGATGAAACCTTAATCTATGTACTCCTGAAAAGAAAATTGGAATATCTTTCCTCATTTTGTCAGCAACGTCCTTCAAGGCTAATGCCGCGCAGGTCGGTGCACTGCACAGATGTCGGTGGCATACGATTATTTAAAGAGTCGATGCAGCACACGGATGTCGGTGCGGAAGGGTTAATACTGAGGCTGAACCAAAAGCTAATGTGAACTTGAGCACAAACTTAGGATATGCCACAATGCTTTAAATAGCATCATAGGACTTCAGGAATTTTCACTACATCACAATAATTCCAAACTCTTTGATATAATTTTCTGGAATAGAATTTTAATTGAAAATTAACAACAACATATGTTCAGAAAACATTAAAACACTACTGGAAACAATGTATATAATGCAATTAAAATAAAGCCACTTTGTAAACAAGTAAGGTAATAGTCATAAAAAATTTTATTTTCAAGTATCTATATAAAATGGAGCCTGGCTGCAATGAGGGAAAAAAATCTGATCTAGTGTGGTACAATTTTATACATACATTTTGTATGAGGTGTGAATGATAAGTGTGATTACTTTCCATGGAAGCTATGAAAGAGGATTTTTCTGAAAGACTATCACCAACTCCTGATTAACACATTGTCGTGTACACGTGACAAAATGATGGGTTTTAGTTCGGATGATTGGATTTATTAGCACTTCAGCTACACATACTTAAATACAGAGCTATCATTGATTTACACAATTTACAGTTTGCTGTTGTACATGCACTAGGATTCTCTGTCTTCACTAGTCGTCTCCTAGCAACAGATCTCAACACAGAACTCTCATTTCAAATCACTACAAATATTACACATAGTCTTCCAATCATGCTTTAAATCCTCACAGGTTGACCTCCTGTATTCTTCCGTAATCTTGGTTCCACCAACTGTAAACACACATTATGTGAGCCCTACCCACCACTGTTGTGTGACATCACCACACAAGCAGGAAACATGTAACGTGACAGTCACATACAGTCAATGTGTGATGTCACAGCGCATGCATTGCATAGCAACGGTCTGTCCACAGACATACTGCATATGTGTTGCAGGCGTTGTATGGCAACAGGTCTACATGCCACAATATTACTGGCCATGTTAATCAGAGTAGCCACAGATGGATCACCAAATTTTACAGGTTAAAGTTTAAACCTTTTGAAAAAGATGCAAGATACTACACATGAAACATGTCAATGTTGCTCACTGGGAGGTGCTCTATAAAACTGCTTTAAATATGTACCATGTGACAAGTTCAGTTGTGAAACTTGTGAATTTCATCTGAGTAAGGGGTATGAAGCATGGAGAGTCACTGAGACTAGGTACAGCCTTCAAAAAATGTTTCTTTTAGCACATTAAGATAGCGTTATATTTCTTTAAGGAATTTTGATTGTGTTCTTGGACATGAAAGATAAAAGCTCTTATGTTCCCACAACTGAGAAGACAAATCTGGAAAGTGATCTATTATGCCTGGCTGACATTTTGCAAGATGTAACAACTTAAACGTGATTCTTCAGATAAAAGACCTCTTTTTACATGAGTGACATACAGTGTTATAGGCAATCAAAACAAGCTGAGGCAAATACATTTGGACATTTTTTTACTCTATGTAGAACACAGGGGGGAACGCAATAGCGTAGTTGGTTGAGGGGCTATGCTACAAGCGGGAAGGTCACGGGTTCAAGCCCTTCCAGTCACTCTATGGCCCTGGGTTTGACTCAGCCTCTAACAGAAATGAGTACCAGAAATTAATTAAATAATTTTCCTGGGGAGTAAAGCGCAGCCGGCACATAAGGCTGACAATCTTACCGCCATCTTTGAGCCGATTGTCTAGATAATGTGGGACCCTCAATGTCTCACAACTCTATGGGCCTTCAGGGCCTGGTACAGGGATAGATTTACTTTTTTTTTTTTTTTACACGTAAAACACAGAGCTGATAAGTATAGTACACTCCTTAGTAAACCGCATGAAGAATTCTGTATTCAGTACAAATATCTCAAGAAAGCAAAAAACAAAATTCAACTCTTAGCATGTCCTTTCTCCTTTGATGGTGAAAAGGCTCCATGTAATCTTCAGCTAAAACCAACTGATCTGCAGAGTTGTGTTACTTGGATATCAGAAAGTTGCCACATCTACACTCCAGCTGCATTCAACCTTTTGTGCCATACGCTGTTAATCATCATCATCATCATCATCATCATCATCATCATCATCAGTAATCTGTCAGACAACAGGTCCACAGTCTCTTCCAAAACAATTCCTCCACTTAATGCGATCTAGAGCTTTCTCCTTCAAATGACAGTATCCTCTTCTGTCCCCAAGGTCATCCAGCATCTTCTTACGTCTTCTTCCCACTTCTATTTGCCCCTCTATCTTTCCTTCAATAACTTCTTTTAGAAGGCAGTTTCTGCATAAAACATGACCAATCCAATTAGCCTTCCATTTCCTTATTTCATGTAGGATATTCCTCTGCTCACTGACTCTAATTAACACTTCTTCATTTCTCACATAATCGGTCCAACTGATCTTCTCCATCCTTCTCCAACACCACATTTCGAAACTTTCCAGATGTTTCTGATCTACTGCCCTAAGTGTCCATGTTTCAGCCCCATACAGAGCTATGCTCCAAATGTAGCATTTCACTAGTTTCTTCCTCAAATTTAAGTCCAATTTGCTGGTAAAAAGATGTTAATCATATAACTTTACAAATTAGCTTCTCAACTTTCTTATTTTAAAATAAACGGATATGAAAATATTACACACAAAGCTATCACACTAGCTCTGGGGGCTGAAGCAAAAGCTTGTGCAGGCAAGACCAAACCCTCAGACTACAGTTTGCCCACTCTTATCCTACATCATAAATTACCTCCTCAGCTTGTCAAACCAATGGCCCTTGCGTGATCCCAGAAGGTGTGTGTCTGCCAAGAGAAGAACACGGACTGACTGCTCATCTTGCCTTAAACTGACCGTGTTGTCTGCCTTGCTTGGGTCTAACTGTGGCCACCAACACTAAGAATAATAACATAAAGAAACATAAATGAATAATACAATCATGTTTTCAGGTTTGCTTCTTACAACTATGACCACAAATACTGGACATAAAACTACAACAAAAGATGCTGAAGATATATTAAAATTAGCTGTGTTCTCAGTCATGCTGGTCCACATGTGGCCAAGAACATTGGACACACAAACACAGCAGAAGAAATCAGAAGCTGACTACTACCTTCTGGAATAATATGCTGTGTTTTGTGGTAAAAGTTCACCTACATTTCAGGAAAACACTTTCTGGACCTAACAGCAAGCCAACCAAGCAGCCAACAAGAAACATGTGCCAAGAAAATCCTTTTACTGCTTACTTGCTTGGCTTACTTTCCGACCCTGAAAATGGAGGCAGTATGTTCCCCTGAAACGTCAGTAAACTTCTATTGGCCTACACAGCATTATATCTAAAAAGATAGTACTCTTCATAGTCACTGCTTTGACTGAAATCCAGGACAGCCAAAAGTTAATTATATTTAGGTCGTTCAAAAATGATTGACACTCCCTCCATAACTCCAGAAAAGTAGCAATGTCAAATGAGAGCCGGTGTATATGGGAAGGCATACTATAGTGCCGCCTATGGCCATGAGCTGATGTTGCTACTACGCACAGGTCGAACAGTGCTGTGTCATTCGTGGTGGTGTGCAGGTGCAGTCGTGGACAACGCTCAGACAACATGGAAGAAGACAATCACGGGCAACGGTGGACTGTGTAGTTTCTCTGGAGGCAAGGTGTGGCTACTTCTCTCTTTCACACGAGGTTAGCAGCCATATGTGGGGAAGCAGCACCAAGTCGTCCTCTTCCCAAGAAGTCACAACCAGGACTATTTGTCTGGAAGCAAATGGTGACTGTATTCTGGGATCAGGAGGGGATCCTTCTGTTTGATTGGGTGCCCCCCAAAATGACCATCGACAGTGATCAGTACGAGTACTGCAATTCACGTGCCAACTCCACCGATGCATGCAGCAATGCCATCACAGAAAATGGGGGGGCGGCATTCTTCTCCAACATGACAATGCGCGGCCACATGGCAAGCGGCAGACCATTGGCAACCTGGGTCCTCTAGGGTACACCATGCTGCCTCATCCGCCATACTCGCCCAATCTTGCCCCTAGCAACTACGCTCTATTCGATGCAATGAAAGACGTCATGCAGGGTAAGACGTTCACCTCCAACAACGAGCTTCAGGCAGTTGTCCGGCAGTGGTGCCAGGATACCCCCAAAGAATGGTTTGCTGAGCAAATACAGAAACGATGCCGGAACGATGGCAAAGGTGCACAGACACTGGAGGGGAATACCTCTAATATAATCTGTATGTATTTTGTTCCAATAAATGGTTTCTGTGAAGAAAAAACATTTAGTGTCAATCATTTCTGAACGCCCCTAGTAATATTAATGGTGTTACCAGTGTTGCTTGGGTCCAAGTACAACAGCAAACACTGGACACAACTTCATTTATGTCAAATAAAGGTTATACATTTCATCATCAAATCTATGCCATTATCAGACTCTTTGTGAATGTATGACGGACGCTCGCATCTAAAAATGTTGTAATGCTGCAACAGCGATCATGTCTTATGTCGATGTTTATAATTCGACCAAGCATCAGAGATGTTAACACATTCTGAAATGAAATAAATTCTTGAAATAAAACATACTACATATAGTTAAGCAGGAAGATTACATTGTATATCTTATTCTGTAAATCATCTATGTATTTAATTATTCAAAAACTTTAAGGTGGCAAAGAGTTATCTAAGCAGTGGGTCATGAAAGAACTTATGTAGTCTGACATCAGTAAAATGACTACCTACTGATCACAATTTTAACGTTATTTAAAATTAAAGTGATATTATGAACATTTTTACAGTGCACTGAAAACGCAAGTGAATAAGTGAGTGAGCCACGGTTTGATTCTTGCTTGACAGGAGCAAGGATATTTTCTCTTCATCAATCTATCCAGATTACATCTGGGACCTATCGAGCCTTCTATCTAGTGGGGTCTAAGGTCTCTTTCCCTGAGGACAAACTTTCCAGAAAATGAAGGTGAGGACTCATTTCCAACACATTCCAAGATTAAGAATGTGTGGAGTTTTACCTCCACTCCTCATACATCTTCATGGCTAAATGCGGAACACCAAGTACAGAGATACACACACATAACCTTTTACATAACAAAGCCTAGTGTCTGCCCTCTAATTACAACACTAAACTTTTCAGAATCAGACACTTCTGCAGCTTAGCCACTCATCTGAAAGGCAAGCTTTTGGAGTGATATTAGAATACTGATATTCTGGTAAGGATTTTCTTTTATACATGGCATATACTATTCTAGATCTGTGCCTAAATACTGTGAGGTTCGCTTAAGAATTCTAACTACAAGAACAAATGCTGATTCCTGACTCAGACTGAAACAAAGGAAGTCAAGTCAGCAGTTTCTGGCCACAAATGTGAATGTTTTGATGTATGATATATCACTCACCTGCAGCAGGACAATATAGTAAATGAGGAATTCACAATAAAAGACAAGTCCTAGCACAACAAGAAGAAATTTGGTCAAGTAAGCAACTCTAAGTCCCATTTTTCATCTTCCGGACAGCAAAATGACTTGCATTTCAAATTCACACCTGCAAAACAAAATTCAGTGGCACATATATTAAAAATTTACTCTAAACAATAACAGAATTATACATTGAATGAAAAATCCTCAAATGGACAAAAGTTCACCTTCTGCCATAACATTTAATTGGAGTTTATCATGACATCAGCAGACTGATGATATTAAACATCTTTTAAACATATTACAAAATATGGATATGAATGCACTACTTCCTATTACAATTTGAAGCTTTCATGGCAACCAAATAAAACTAAGTTCTCTTGAGTAATCAACCATGTCGGTATGAAACCACTGCTGTTTTGGAAACTGTCTCGGCCTCCACTGTCTAGGATCATGATGAATGTAACTGCATGTACATATACACAGATGGCTCTTGAAGTCCAATGTCCTTCTCCAAGTTTATACAAATAGGGAAATTCTGGACAGAGCCATCCTACTAAGTTGGGTTCATAGTCAGTACTGTTTAACATGGAAAATCTTTGATGACAGCAAGTATTAATTGCTCCATCTAGGAATCCTAGAGGTTGCTTACATCTCTGCTTTATTGTAGTATTCTTGCAGCCAGGTTCCAGGATCAACTTCTAATGAAACTTGCATTTCTGTTAAAGTTGGTGGGACTCAGCCAGACCTGAATGGCCCCTTTCACTAAGCAATACATGTACTCTGTAATTTTGACCATTGCTGTAATACATTACAAACTGGAGGGTACTGCCACAGGGTATGCCACTGCTAGCAGTAGTGAAGACTCTTGGTATAAGAGTTGCATCTGATGCCAGTGTCAAAACTGACTACAGCACAAAAACTATACTCTCTTCCACATTCCAAAGCCAACATTCACTTAACCAAAGCCTGAAGAAAACACAATGTTCAACAAATCTGAAGGAATATAAACAACTCTGACCAATTTTCTGCAAATCTCACCAGTCAATGACAAAGCATATACCAATGCGACCTAATGTACATGATTTATTTCACCGTCTTCTAGTGCATACACTTATCTACCTCACTCCTCTCTCTCGCACTACATGTTTCGGCACNATGTAACTTAACCAAACCTTTTCTGAGAACTATTGAAAGAAGCACAGGCAAATGAACAGGTGAATGTAAAAATTGATTATAAAAGATAAACCAATTCTGTCCAGTGTGACGGGTGAAGTTTTTCTTATTTCAATTCTTCATGCCCTTACATGTTTCGGTCCTTAGAGACCATCATCAGAGGGACATCGATACAGTTTGGAAACCACTATTGCAATGGGTATTCTGAATGTTAAAATATATATACATACAATGTTGACAATACACAAATGGATACAAAATCCGAAGTTTTCATAACTACAGCGGCTGTCTTGATATATTAAAATTTTTTAAAACTTTTGTTATTTAAGTTAGAATTTATAAACCAAATAGGTTAGTGTCCTCTCTTTTATCACCTCTCTTGATGGGGGCCAAACATGTGCGCCTGCCTTTCTTGTGAAGAAGTTTCTTTGATGTCGTCCTGTTTGTTTGTGGCATGCTGTGTTGTTTTTACTGAGGTTTACAGCGAGCCACAAACAACCACAGGACAACATCAAAGAACCTTCTCAAGAAAGAAAGGCCGCATAAGTTTGGCCCCCATCAAGAGAGGTGATAAGAGAGAGGACACTAACCTATTTGGTTTATAAATTCTAACTTATATAACAAAAGTTTTAAAAAATTTTAATATATCAAGACAGCCGCTGTAGTTATGAAAACTTCGGACTTTGTATCCATTTGTGTATTGTCAACATTGTATGTATATATATTTTAACATTCCGAACACCCACTGTAATAGTGGTTTCCAAACTGTATCGATGTCCCTCTGATGATGGTCTCTGAGGACTGAAACATGTAAGGGCATGAAGGATTGAAATAAGAAAACCTTCACCAGTCACACTGGATGGAATTGTTTTATGTTTTATAATATTGTTAGTGTGACAGACCAGAATGAAACAAATAAAAAAAATAAAAATGGATGTACTGAACTAATCTCATCTGGCAAACATCTCATTAAAAATATTTAAATAATATTTGAAAACACACACAAATAAGTTGTATTCCTTTATGGAAATTGTGTAACCTTTATACCTGTTTAAATTATTACATTGGCAACACACCCTTTTAAGGAACAGAATCCCAACAGGATTAAGCAATTTACAATTTTAAACTGTTCTGAAGGGCATTAATGACAAAATTTCTTAGTTTTGGATATACATTACTTCTCTTACTATAAAAGCTGTTATATTTTGCACATTCATATATTTTCCTCTTAGCTGCATGTCCCTCCAAAACGTCAGTATCAATCTACAAGTTTACAAGGTGTCATAACCTAGAAGATCACAAAGTGAACAATCAATGCTGTGAATGACTCAAAAACTTCTTATATTCTTCTTGTATCTGACAGTCATGCTCAAAATTAATGAAATACTGTAGAAATAACCTATTTGGTTCCAGTTCTCTGGAGGCGATAAGCAGTTCCCATTTACTATGGCAGGTTAGTGGAAGAAAGCGGTCGTAGCCTCACTGAAACCACTATTCCCACTTTTGTTTTGAGAGACTGGGGGTAACCATGAGAAAAAAAAACGTTATCCAACATGAACCAGACACCTCCAAACACAAGTCACAAGTATTCCACCGCTTCGAACAGCTTGCCCGGTAATGCAATTCTTGACACCCAATTATATTAACTATAATTTTGGGGCATCGTCTCTCTTCCGCACAAGAATACACATTCTTCGCATTACCTACGCTCCCACTCCCCTATTATCACGGACCTCTACATCGCTCTACATTATTCATTATTACTACGAGATGCTGGGCAAGGAAGTACAAAGTACAAAGAAGTACACAGACACATGTACAAAGCAGCTGTTACAAATTCCTTTGTATTTAAAAAGTCGAAATACTGAGACTCGTTCAAACTACTTCAATTTGAGGACCAATATATAGTTCTGTTGGACCCAGTTACATTCAAAAGCACCATGTCTTCACTGTCACTTCAAAGTTTGCTTCTGTTTTCAATCTGAAGACGTTTTCCTTGTCTGACCTGTTCCCTATCCTAAGTAATCTTATAACACTAAGATAGGAAAACCTGTACACAAATGTGACATGACGTGATGCTGTCTAGATGGTCTAGATCGTCTAGATCGGTCTAAATTGAAAATACCAAACTACATGGCGTCAAAATCAGACTCCCGCAAACTCCGTAAATTCGATGCGTCCAGCGATGACCACTGATTTGATGTCTAAGGCCGGGCGCACACCAAGGAAACTGGCAACCGCAACGCAACCGCGATTTCCGGGAAATATAGCCGATTTCAAGCAGGCGCACACTGAGGAAACTTACGTTCGATTTGTTGCTCACATATCAAGTGGATGTGTTTGCCGCCAATTTCGTGCACTTCTCTTCTGCAATGCCAGATAATAATATTGTTCCTGTAATGATATGGTGGTGGTTCAGACGGCGTAAGATGAGAATATAGGTGAAAAGGAAACACTGGGTGCACCCGTTCTTTCTCTACAATTTAAACTCAGGTGTTTATATTGTTTCGAAATAATTTAAGCAGGATACAGAACTGTGGAAATAATTTTACAGAATGAGCATTCAAAGTTTTTCCTTATTAGTGGATATTGTAGGATCTCAAATTCAAAGACAAGATACAAATTTTCGTACAGCTGTGTCAACAGAACCATAGACAAAATTATAGTTTTATATATTCTAATTTTTATGTTTTGTACAGCATATGAGAAGACAAAAAAGGTTGTGTACTGAATGGTAGCAAGCATTACCCGAGTTCAATCTCTTAATTTCCTCATGAATCATGTTTTCGTTTGTTATCGTCGTTCCCAAATACTTGAACTGTGTCACGTTTTCAAAACATCTCTTATCTATCTTTATGTTAGGATTTTGCTCTACATTTTGGTGACGAGACAGCAACATATACTTAGTTTTCTCTGTGTTTACTTCTAGACCAACCTCCTTACTTGCATCAAAGTTTTTATGTATCTCTTTATGGTATCTATATTATCATCCAGTAGATTCACACCAGCATAGACCAACAGCTGATATGTCCCATTCAATTTCAGTCCCACCTGGTTTTCCTGGACCTTCCTAATGGCATATTCTAAAGCAAACTTGAAAAGGTGTGGTGATAAAGTATCTCCTTGTTTTAGGTAATTCAGAATAGGAAAATTATCAGAAAAATATTTACCTATACAGACTTTACAATACGTTTCGTTTAAACACATTTTAATCAGCCTGATTAGTTTCATGGGTTACCTAACTCTATGAGAATACTGTACAATACTTCCCCCTTAACTGAATCATAGGCTTTCTTGAAGTCTATGAATAGCTGATGTACTCTTATTCTATTCCCATTTTCTCCAGTTATCTGATGATTGCAAAAGAGCTAATCAGTAGTTGATCTGTTATGTCAAAACTCACACTGATGATCCCCACGCGGTTCCGTAGTGGTTGAGGAGCTATGCTACAAGCCGGAAGGTCGTGGGTTCAAGTCCCGATGAGGTCATTGAATTTTTTTCAGTTGACCTAATCCTTCCAGTCGCACTAGGCCCTGGGGTTTACTCAGCCTCTAACAGAAATGAGTACCAGGAATTAATTAAATAATTTTCCTGGGGAGTAAAGCGCGGCCGGCGCGTAGGGCTGACAACCTTACCGCTGTGTTTGAACCGATAGTCTAGAGCAGCGTTCCGCAACCGGTGTGCCGTCACAAGGTGAAAGGTGTGACGCGAACTTTTACCTATTGTAAGAAATTAATTGTCGAATTTCATTCGTTTTATTTTATCCCAGTTACCGTGTTTCATATGCTTGTATTTTATTCTCAGCCATTGCACTGATTAAATAAGATGATGCTTGTTTATTCTTTATTACATGCTGTGATTTTTTATGTACAGTAAGGTTGTGTAAACGTAAATTATTTATTTTTATTTTTCTCGCATCGACGCAGCTTCTTTGATATGCTTGCCGCATGTTCTGTGTACGTGCTTTTCCACAACACTGCAGGGATTAACACGGGTTTTCCTGTCTTTTATAACGCTGTTTCGGTATTTACCCCTGTTTGTTAGAAGTTAGAGTTTCTTCAACTTTATGACCTTCCTGTAACGATGCACCCACCGATTGTTGGACTTAATTTAAAATTATAAGTATTTCAAAAATAAGTCGGTATAGTGTCACTTCTTCCGTTTGAAGAGTAGAGATCCCGCGTTTTACAATTGCTTCAGTTCTATCACAGCTGTGCTCTGAAGTAGTTCGCAAATTTTGGTTGTTTGTTAGAGAATTACAGATGGGTCGTTTGAGATGTCCCCGACTGTATGGCCACTTGCTGGAGGCAATAAAGTGGTGATGGACACAATTAAAGAACATTTAGAAATGCTGCAGCAGAAATTCAACAAGTATTTTGGAGAGAGTGTACAAGATTTCGACTGGGTTCGCGATCTATTTGTTGTGAATTCAATATACAAGAGGAACTCGCAGATTTAAAAGCAGACAGAACATTGAAATTAAAACTTCTACAACTGTCTTTGGATACGTTTTGGTTGGCAATAAGGAGTGGATACCCGGATATCTCCGAGACTGCAGTTAATGTGTTATTGCCATTTTCAACTACATATTTGTGTGAACTGGGCTTCTCGACGTTAACTGAAATTAAGACATCAAAGAGGGAGCGGATCAAATCCATCGATGAAGAAATGAGAAATTGCGTTGTCAACGATTCCACCACGGATCAGTCGCCTGTGTGCAGCTACACAGGCGCAAGTATCACGTTGAAGGTATGAGCAGACCTACTGTATTTACTTTAATAGTAACAGAAGTGTATTTTCTGCACTCTACAGTGAATTAAAGTTCATTAATTGTTAATAAATGCACCCGTCGATTTCTGTTTAATGATAATAAAATAACAATATAATAATATTATACTTAAGTTGATCACGTTACGTATTTATATTAATTGTCTGATATCATGCGTTTTTGAGGGGAATAACATTTCGGTGTGCCGTGTTGATTCATGGATACTTCATGGTGTGCCGCGAGTAGAAAAAGGTTGCGGAACACTGGTGTAGGCCGTCTAGACAATGTGGGACCCTCAACGTCTCACAACCCTATGGGCCTTCACGGCTACGGAGATAGCTTTACTTTTTTTTTTAATCCATTTGTAACTTGCTTATTGACTTGCACTAGCCATCATAAAACAAACTTTGTCAGTTATGTATACAATATCTGTAATTAAAATAAATATACAAAAACATAAAACCATTTATCCATTTAAGAACTCTCAGGTGCACAATAAGGATACTTACGAAGAATTAGATGTAAATTGTTAGATGCAAATTCAAGAACTAAGTCTGGTATCATTGTACACCTGATGATGACTCAGTATAAGGGTCAAAACATGTAGCATCAATAAAAACAAATGTTGATATGATAGTGTCTACTTTATTTTAAATACAGAATATTGTTGTGTAGACTGCATACTTTTGTATACATTCTATGTACCTTGTTTATGACACAGAACAGGATGCATACTATTAAGATTCCAACAGTGGCTGACTCAGCTCCATTCTGTATAGAAACAAATCATCACAACAGATTTTCTATGTCATGCTGGTTGAGATCCATGTCTGCTGTGCTAAACATCACAACATGATTTCTTTGATTCCTTGTTATTGCTGGCCATGTTGTGGCAAAAACTTCTTCCATGTGAACAAATGTGCTATGTTTATGTCCTTTTGCATGTTATTATGGACACTTCCTGTTTAACAATCCAGCAAATAGGTCTATTGGTGGTGCAACATGAATTATACAAGAACCACCAGAAGAATAAAAGGTTCTAATGAAACACTTTCTGATCTGTTGCATATGATAACATCATGTTACTCAGTTCAACATTGATATCAGTAACAAACAAACTTCCCAAGTGTGTAGAATGATCCAAAGTTTCATGCAACTACATTCAATAACAAATAAGTTACCCAAATTAAAATGTCAAATAATGAAAAAACACCCTGTGCAAAGTACAATATAACATAAATATTTTGCAGAAGTAATTGTAAATGACATTTAGTGAATGTGAGAAGTCATATTCAATGTGCTTTATTTCAGACAAAGTGGATGATTAAGACTATGATGAACTCTTCCTTTATAACAAATATTAAACGCACATGTAACTATTCATTTGGTTGATACTTCTTCCAATTGGTAAGGGGTCAAAACTACGGCCTATATTGAATGAATACTCAGTCCATGTTAAGGCTTCATTGTTTGCAGTTACTACACACATTAAAAGAAAGTTAAATACTTATTTGTATTACTTATTTAATATAAGGTCTATGTTTCAAAGCCATATTGTAGCAAAATGTTATCTGATTTCAACATAGTCCAAACTGAAGCAAGACTGTCTTCTGTTATCTTAACTGCGATATTTTGCTAGATTGTGGTGGCACTTTCATTCACTTATCAAGAATAAGAGACTTCAATAATCTTTGCTTGTGTCTCAAGTTGATTTTTGAATATATCTGAATGTCTGTAAATCTTTTAACTATCTTGAAAACTGCAAGACACATGGAAGAAGTGCAGTTACTAAAATGTTTGTTTCATTTGAAACATTTTTTGCTCAGATGAATGGATCTGAGGAGAGCATTTGGACCAAAGAGCTATGAAAAAGTACAAGGCTGGAGAAAACTGCATAATGAGGAACTTCACAGCTTGTACTCTTTGACAATTACATTGCATGTCAAGGAGGATGGGATGGGAAGGGCATGTAGCATGCATTGGGGAGAAGGGAAATGCATGTAAGATTCTGGTGGGTAAGCCAAAAAGATAGACCACTAGGGGCACCTACACACAGATGGAAGGACAATATTGAAATTGATCTTAGAGAAGTAGGATGGGATGGTATGGACTGGATTTATCTGGCTAAGGACAGGGAAAATGGAAGGCTCTTGTGAACACAGTAACAAACTTCTGGGTTCCATAAAATGTTGGGAAATTGTTGAGTAACTGCGCAACTGCTGGCTACTCAAGAAATAATCAGTTCCACGAGGTTAGTTAGTTGATCGAGATATGAGCAGAAACTCTTGTAAGCCTTCATTAAAATTTCCACTTTTCTTTTCTGATTTTAAACATGACTGGAATGTGCCAAC